TTTTGCAAGTGTTTTCTGAAGTTGCAGTCCATTTGGCCTCTCAGGGCCACCGTAGAATGAGCCTTAGCAAAGCAGCAAATCTCCACAATGATGTGAGAGACTGATAAAGTCATAAAGATAATGATTACTTTAATTTACTCCTGCTAAACGTGCTCCTACAAGATATCTACTTAGTTTCTCACACACTCGTTCTGCATTTTGCTTTCGTTTTTAACTAAATAATTCCACAGTGTAATATGTAATGTGCAGTTGTTTAAGAGGGATGGTATTTAAATAATTTTTGAACCTGCTAAGGGCCAGATGATCTATTTTTATTATGTCCCAATAAATGTCAAAACTGAGAGAGAGTGTTATTTTATTTATTTTGTTATTATATTTTATTATGACTGCAATATTTTTAGTCCTTTAGCATGAACATGTTAAATAGTTGAAGATTAGACTAACCCTGTTTCTTTAATTTGGTCTACTAATGATATAAAGCAACATTTAATATCTGTAAAACATAGTGTGTGAATGTGTGTGTGAATGGGTGGATGACTGGATATGTAAAGCGCTTTGGGGTCCTTAGGGACTAGTAAAGCACTATATAAATACAGGCCATTTACCATTTTTTTACCATATTAATTAGTGGGCATGGTAATCATGGAGCAATTCAAAAATTGATGATATCATACTTACATAATAATATCATAATATCATACACACATAATTGTCCACAATAATACTGTTATCATGGCACTGTGATAATTGAGACATTGCAATAGCAGTGATATATGATTATATCTGTGCAAGTGAGGGAGAAAATAACATTTAAAAGGAAAAAAACATGAATTAAATATCTATTGTGTTGTCAGTGTTATGAGTTTCTTCTTCTTCACTGCAAATTGGTTAACCTCTGCTGCCTTTAGCCTCACGATCTCTGAAATTTAAATAGGGACATCATGTTTTCATAGATGATGAAAACGGGAAAGTAAATATTGTCCTGATGGTTCTGATTTCCAGATGTACTGAAAAAAATCTGTTGATCTGTGCCCAGATTATATATATATATGTTTGTTTGTTTTTACATTTCATAGGTCGGTGAAATTCAAAGTGAATGGTTAAAACAACTGTACAAGGTAAGCTTGAGCTTCTGCATGTTGCAATAATAATATTACAGTTTTCAGAATGTAATATTTCTGTTTTGTTTTTGTTTTTTGTGGAGAGTATGGCCACTTCTAGGAAGCGAAACCTGTGTTGGTTCTGTCCACTGCTCTATTATACAGTTGTAAATACTGATAACATATCTGCAGAAGGACTAACACCGATAGTCAGTAATAGTAAACCTTCGCCTGGCCTCCATTCATAGATGTAGTGTTGAAATTCAAAACTCAAAATTCAAAAGACCTATCGAGACAAACTGAATGGTCAAATATTTAAGATGTGCTGATTGATTTGCATTGTCCACGCATTGGACATACTATGTGTATCTTGCAAATTAAGAGTCTTCCCTGGAGAGAAATCTTTAATTTTTTAAACTGGATTATATTATGAAACATTTGCAGGAACATTCTGTGGAAAACGTTAATGTTGAGGTTTTATGTTAAGAAATTACATCCTTCAAGCAGCGACATGTGAGGAGGATGATGTATAGCAGATGAAGAGGGATAGGCAGTAAGAGATGTGAGAGACATATGGTTTCATGAAGTCAGTCTGATGTGGTTACATAGATTTACGGAAGGAACTACAACTCAGCCGTGTGCATGCATGTGCGTCATCGGTGCAATCCAGTACTTAAACTGATAGCATTACCAGCCCTTCTCTAAAGGACAGTTGCCTTCATCCTGTAACAATCATTATTGACCTTCTACACCCCTCAGTGCTCTTTAGTGTAAGCATGTACGTTGCACTGAGACTGTTTGCTTTGCTTTATAACAGACTATCCAGAGCTACAAGCCACAGTTCATTGCCCTGCACTTCCAGGAGGTTGGAGGAAAGGACTACATGTTAAACATGGGCCATGCAGAAAACTTCTTCTGGTAGGATTAATATGCTGATTATAATGCATTTCGCCATTTCCATTGATTCATTGTTGTCAATGAAACAGTTCCTTATAATGTGTCAAAAAAATGAAAACTATCTACGGTTTGATGTCATTCGAGAAGCGAGAACCAGTCAAGTCATTACATCTTTATTTAAAAACATAACATTAATTGATGGTTGTATAGTTATAGTCAGAAGACTCTTAGATCGTTAGATCTGTATACAAAGAAACCTCCATTGCAGTGATCATACTTTTTTGCTCTGCTGTTACCAGGACCCTCGAGTCCAGTGAAGAAATGAAAGACTTTGACAGGTCTTGCATTTATGTGGACAACCAGTTCAAAGTAGAAGATAGCTTCACGGTAAGAAACACAAAAACGTCTCATACAGAGTAGTTGCTGTGTGTTTCCACTAGATGGAGTTCTCTTACATGTTAATGCACAATGATAACTGGATGCATTCAATGCACTCTGCTGGGGAAAATCAGAAGTTTCTGAGAGTGACGCGACACAGTGAAACAAAAAACGTGCTTACTGACTCCAGATTGCATTGCAATCTTTGATTTTATTTATTTTTTGCTGTGTTTTACTGGCATCTATTTAAAAGCGTGAGTGTAAACAAAAAAACATTATTTTAGTGTCTATGCTGCAATATGCAGAAAATAGGTTTAAATGTTAAAGACAGTTGCATATAATTGCATTTTTGCTTGATGCAATGTGCATGAAATTAAAGGATTAAACCAATCTTTAAAAGAGACTTTTTCATTTGATTCAATTTTACATGATGGATTATGCAGAAAAAATAGAATTGGGCTGAAAAGGTCTATTGCGTTATTACATATTCAGGTTGTGTGTCATGTTTTTTTAAAAGTAACTAAGTAATAAAGTAACTAATTACTTTTGAAAATAAGTAACCAGTAAAATAACAGGATTACTTTCTTGGACAAGTAATTAGTCATTATTAAGTAATTACTATTTTCAAGTAACTTGACCAACACTGGTTGCCACAGACTGCCCAAACAAACTTTTCTGTGAGTCTAACTGTTATTCTGATCATCATGTTAAAGATCAGGACATTGCAAATAAAATCTGCTGAAATCTGAACATACTATAGTAGTACTTCCTAGCTGGAGTCAGTTTTCAGTTCACTGCAGAATGTTAGATGTGCAAACAACACAACAGCCTTGTGTAAGTGACATTGATCTCAAAGATGAAGCACAAAACAGCGTTAAAGCTGTTGCACAATATGAGCACAGGGAGAGGAGGTGCTCTTAAAGACGGGTCTGTTAAATCTCATGCTGCTCCCGGCATTTCTTAATGTCATGAGCTGAATCCTTGGTCTTTTGTTGGAATGCTGTTCAGTCACAGATTAAGCCTCATCGTCCACACCTTTCATGAAAGACGTTTTCTGTATGCACCTTCTTTTTTATTGTCCTAATACAAACAAGCTTTTAATATCTTTCTTAGAAAGTAATGAAAATGATTTCTTAAAGTTCATAGTGGCTCTTAACTGGTTCAACAGTATTAGTTTCCTAGAAATTTTGCCCCTAGCTGGAAGTGCAAAAGTTGTGACTCACCCCTCATTTTTTTTATTTCACTTTCGAGGAACCAGACTTTCTTGTAATTTTTTAAAAGTTGTTTGAGCAATAGTTCTCCAGGTTTTCTGACAAGCTTTTAAAATTTTTCTTTAACCACTGGCTGCTTTTTTGCTTATTTTCAGGCCAGTCAGGGCAATGTTTTTGTTTTGTTCTTTTGTTAAGCTTCTTAACACTGGCCTATGAATCATTCAAGATTTTAAAAAGCCATGAAATTCAAGGGATAAGCCCGTGTTATGTCAACACATAACAGACAGCTTAGCAAAGAACCGTTTTTAAATTGTAACTTTAGGCACTTTGTTACTAGCAGCCTGTTGCAATCATACTATTTGTTTCTATTTTTGTATCAACAAGTTGATTCCGAAAAAGCTCGGCATACTTTGTAGAGAGGAAACTGAACAAGTAGAAGAGTCAGGCAAAAAATCTATATACAGCAGATCAACAGCATCTGAAAGTCAAATCATTTAATGTTATTTATATAGCTCTAAATCACAACAAGAGTTGCCTCAAAGCCCATATATTGTAAGGTAAAGACCTTACCTTGCTTCAAATGGATATGTCAGTATGTACAGAGGTCAGAAGAGAAGAACAACAGTGAGTGTCTACTGCATCTGTAAACCAGGGGGAGGCTGGAACTGCATTTTGGCCAGTGGTGTTGGACAGATTTTGGGCTTCTGCATTACTGAAGCAGTGTGAGATCATCTTGACAGAGAGCAAAACAAAAGGCAGCCAACATCCAAAGAAGAGCTTTGAATATCCTTCAAGAAGCCTGAAAAACTATTCCTGAAAACTACCTAAAAAAACCCACAAGAAAGCTTGTCTAAGAGAGTTCAGGCTGTACTGAAGAATAGAGGCGCTCACACCAAATATTCACTTTCAAGCTGTTTGAATTGTTCAACCTGTTTTTTCCATGCATGTTTGCACATTTTTCAATAAATCGCAGTGCCTTTTTCCCACTTTCTTAGCAAAATGGAAAGAAAGGACAGTCAGCTCAAGACTTTTGCACAGTAGAGTGTTTTTTAAAGTATTAACCCGCACTCCTCCCAGGTGATACCCTCACGCTGAACGTTTGACAGTAGGGGTCAATGGCTGCATCTGTAGACTGAAGGTGCGTGAAGTAAAAAAGGGGAAACTCAATGGCCAGGTGAGAGTAGAGACAGGCCAAAGTCAATACATTTAACTCTAGATTAAAACTATTGATCCCAGCCTATTTGTACACAATAAATAAAGTGTGTTGGGGGGCAGAAGACAGCTGGGACTAAGTTTCCTCTGCACTTGAGTGTTTGCACCCCCCGCTGTTTGCCCTGGGAGGGTTGCAGCCACCCCACCCCACCTAATGCCTCATTCTCATTTCGTCGGTGCCACCTGCATTGATTTTCAATTTGTTTCCCCTTGGCTGCGATCATCAGTTATACGGCCATGAGAGAATTTGGGGAGGGGTGGTGGGTTCTCTTTTCAGAGGGGTTGCAGAAGCAGAGGGGACAGACTTGCATGAATTCCCAGTACAAATGGTGTTTTGATAAAAAATCACTTGTAAGTCAATATTTTTTTATTAAACTGTGCACAAACCTGATTGATGAAGATAGGTGTTTGGCAGAGTATGTGGAGGAAAACGAGGAGGGAAATGTGCCTCTGTGTGCGCCGACGTGTGTGCACATGCTTTCCAGTATATAACATTGTTACTAATCTAGCATAAACAAAGCGAAAAGGGTTGGCCATCTCATGTTTTATGAATTGTTAGAGTACATTTCTAATGTCCCAATTTTGTGAAAAAAAAAGTGCCAACATAACTTCAGTGGGATCTGACTTCCTTCCTGAGTCTACAAGCTGCTATACAAGTTAAGGACAATGTCAGACTCAGTTAAATAACTCATTGCTTAAATCTTCATTCAGACAAGTTGGTCACCAACTGCAGTTCGCTGGAGTCAAACACAGAGACATATCTAATTTTATTTATTGTGGACAACTTTGGCACTGAAGATAAATGAATTCTTCAGGGAGAAATTTCTCATGTAGCGGCTGGATTTGTGTGTGTGTGTGTGTGTGTGTGTGTGTGTGTGTGTGTGTGTGTGTGTTTGGGGGGTGTCTGTCACCGCAGTCTGTCACGCCCTGAGCCCTCTTGAGTGCCGGCTGATTTTTCTTCAGCTCCCAGTTTGCAGCAGCGGTGTTGGCAGACAGCGGGCTCACTGCTTAATACCTTTTAAATGGTTTTAATTTTCTGTCTTTATTGATTTCACGGGCCACGATTAATCAGATCAGTGGAGCAGGCAGTTAGTACATTAAAAATTGTCAGCCCCACGTCAGGGATGATTGGGTACTGAAGTGTGCGTGTCTCAGAAGCAGCGCGTGGATGTGCTGTGCAGTTATACATCCTCTTGGAAATACTTTATTACTTAAAGTTTGCCATCTTTTTGGAGAGTAACAATGCACTGTGTCATACATTCCCAATGCACAAAGCATACCATGTGTTCTTGCTTTCTTTGAAGAGAATCAATGAAACCAAAAGCCTCTGCAGAACGATTAAAAGTCCAGTTTCACTATGATTTTTTTGAAGTGGTTTACCTAAAACTGAGTGTAACTGCTATATCTTTTCTATCCACAGGCTTTGGGGAGCATGTACTTCATCCACAAGACACTGAAAAATATACAACAGTATGACTTTCATGGTAAAAAAACACAACGTTTACATGGATTTCCTATTTCATCATTCATCATGTTGTGCTAAATTTAGTTTCTTTTCCAAACAACGTCTTGAAACGCACCAATGGTTATTACTCAATGCATTGTTTTGATAGAATCCTCCCTCCTTTGGTGCAGTCGGTTGTGCTGTTGCAAAACCCTTGTCGGTGTTTAATTGTTGGACATTTCTCTGGCAAACTGTGCTGGCAGTTTGAAGGCTACGTCTCCTATTTGCAAAGAACTCGAATTTAAAGTGGAGCTGCTATTTTGCTGTTGCATAGTCCAGTCACGTTAGACGTGAAAAAGCTCCTCAGAAAAGCTTATGGAAGGACCATAAACATCCCGAAGCTGCCACTCGCTGCGTGGCCCGAAACGATTGTTGTTCACCGAACACAGTCTAATGGCCCGCTTATAGATTTGCTCATCATGTATGCCCCTCTGATGAGGTTAACACCAGTTTATTGATTGCTGTTTGCATGTTTTCTCACTCTTTTACATGTCACCTCCTTGGCTCTGCCTCTCACAGTTAAGAATTTTAAAGCAGTGCTGGAGAAGAACAGGTATATGGGCTCTCTGGACAGGGTCACCACCGTGGAGAAAGAAAAATTCCCAAAGAATTTCTGGCCTGATGTGAGTATGTATGCATGACTGTGCATCTGGGTATGCCTGTCGGGAGGGGCAAACATAGGCCAAAGGAGATGTTGGGACAAATGAGTCTACTGGGGCTTTCGGGGGGCCGTCTGCCTGCTCTGACAGGGTGATGAGACAAATTATGTGCAAGAATCAATAATTATCAATTTAGCCCTTTAAAGACACAGCTCACTGCTGTTTAGTGACTCACTCCAGTTTTTCCTCTGTTGCAGTTCAAGTGGTCCAGAAAGGGCTTCATGAGGACCCGCTGGATTATACACAACCAGTACGTAACAAACCTTCACCGTGATGCACCAGCAGGGTTGAACACACTTTCATGTGTGGCTGTTTGGTGACGTTTTTGGAAAAATACATTTACAATAAAAACAACACCCTTGGGAAGAAATATGTAGCCTGTTTTTAAAAGATTGGAAAAGCAGCGTAGAAGATTGTTATGAGCCCAAAGTCCTTGACTGACTGTCAAAGTTAAATAAATAAAAAAATGTCCCATGGGTCAATGTTCAGATAAGACATCACATCAGAAGGCTGGGTATACATTTCACTGATAGGACCTAACCTTTGATAATAATTTAAAAAAATGTTATTAAATCATATTTGGTATGTCCACATTGGCTTTGTCCATCTTTTACAGTATTTGGTATCAGTATGTTTAAGCTCCTACAATATGGAACCATAACTGCTGGAGTTAAAGCAACTGTTAGCCACTATGTCATACTTGTTTTTAAAGCATGCTTCGGCATCCCTCAGTAAACTGAAGGTCAAATATTGTAGTTCCTTGAAGACAAGCAAATAAAATTTTACTCAGTAAACATCTAAGAGGACATTTAAAACCAACTTTGATCTATCAAAGCTGATATAAAACAAACAGTAAGGCTCACATTCAGCTGCTCCGATGACCTTGTGGTTTCTTATCATCCAGTTATTAATATCTTCTGGGTTTTGTTTTGACAAAAATGTCCTCTTTAGTTCACTGGTTACACTCACAGAATATAAATAATTAATTTAATGCGGTGCTCTGTTGGGAGCTTAGACTCGGCATGTTATAGGAGGGTGAGCAGGGTTTTAATTTAATAGTAGTAGTCAGTATTTGCTCTGCTGTGTTGTTACCTTGGGACTGGAACAACAGGAGCTCAAAATCTAATGTACCACAGCATCATACTGTGAGTCAACACAGCTCATTTGTGAGATGCTCATTAATTGCTTTCTGGTGACAGCCTAAGAAAAGGAGCCAGTGAACTGCACTTGTTTGTAGACTGAACATTAACCCAAGTGTGCTCACTGATAAGAAAGCTCCTGTAAATGACACCTGTTATTTCACACACAGACTCACATACACACCTATCTGATGTCAGGCTTTGGAGTTATCGGATTGTTTCCTGTTATTTTCCCCTCCATCTGCCACAACTCACCTTCTTTTGCCTGTGTGTGTCGGGGGGTGTTTTCACAGAGGTCTAGACCTGGTAAATGTCCACCTGTTCCATGATGCCTCTAACCTCATTGCCTGCAACTCCAGTCCTTCCATTTACTCAGCCAACCGCAATAACGCTCTCAGATATGTCATCAGCAGGTGAGACTAGCAGCTGCACGCTACTGTATGAAAACATAATATTCAAAATCTGCTATCATGTAGCTCCTCTTATCCAGTGAATTAGCATTTTAACAGAATCAACAGAAACATGTATGAGAATTTCCACACATACAAAATACATTGGGATTAAGAATTAAAACCCTGTGTTATGACTTAAGGTAGTAATTTTATTTTTCCAGGATATCAGACAGTCGGCAAACCGTGCTGCCTTTCTTTGTGTTTGGAGATTTCAACTTCCGTCTGGATACACTTAGTCTGGTCCAGGTATGCAACAGCATTCATTTTCCCCAAAGTTCAAGTGTTGCAATCATGTACCAGTCTGTAATTTTGACATAAACCCTCTCGTTTGTGTTTTTTGACCAGGATTTGTCCACTGCTGCCGATGTGCAGACGGTGAAGAAGGACAGCAGTAACGAAGTGCAGAGAATCATATATGAAGAAAAGGATAACGACCACCAGGTGATTGAAACGAGAGAATCTCGTTTCAAAAAAGAAAGAAAAGCCAGAATTATCTGCTTCAAAAGTTACTTTCTCTGCCTCCTTTTCACCTCTAGGTTCTGCTTCGAATTGAGGAGAAGCTTTTCGCCTACCTGCACCAGGCGGTTTTCAGAGAGGACAATGGCAGAGCAGTAAGAACACAATCTCACCTTTCACCCATAAAGATATCATCAGTTGCACTACTGAGAAATTCAAGGGAAACTTAGTTTGACCTGTCTTCAGAGATTTTAGATTAGATTTGATTTTAGATTCCATCAGCAGGAATACTTCATAGAAATGACAGCACAGTAAACACAAAAAGGGAGAAACATTAGTAGCAGTAACCCAAATTATCCCCCATGTTAAATCTGCACTCGCTCACATCATGCTTGTTTTTCATGTGTTGACGTTTGTAGTCATTTGTAACCATAATGGCTTCTGTCCCTCAGCTTTTGAAGTATGACAAAGAAGTTGCAGCCTTCCATGATGTCATCAGGGAACAGGACATCATGTTTCCACCAAGGTACGACCTGTAACTCTGCTACTTGCTGCAAATTTCTGCCATTTACTTTTCATGCTTTAAGAATTTGTTCCCCTCTCGTCTTGTGCTCAGCTACCCATACAGTGAAGAGCATGCTAAACCAACCCAGTACATGAACACTCGCTGTCCTGCCTGGTGTGATCGCATCCTTATGTCACATACAGCCCAAGATTTAATCCACAGGGTGAGTCTTTGTCACGCTTGTTGTTTGTCATTTTACATCCACACAATCTCAGATATAATCTCTGCTAATTGATAATACTATACACAGAGATTATTAAAGGGTCATATTTACCAAAAGTATATTTGTTTTCAGATAAGATCAGAAAGCACCCAGTAGCAGATCCATGCTACTTCTGCCATGTTAGTTATACAGCTTTGATTTGTAGAATCACATTATTTTTTGATGACAAACACAATTTGATGTAATATGTGAAGAGACTGAAGAAGTCACTTGGATGAGTGACGAAACATTTCTCCCAGAAAACGCTACGTCCAGATGAACAGAATCAACTTTTGGAGATTTATTTTCCTGGATGATTGAGAATGCATCAAGACGATGTAATATGTGAGTTAGCATGACATGTTAAGGAAGCTCTTTAGCAAGCTAGCCAACCAACATATCCACAACAAATGTGTTTCTAGCAATAACATTAGTTCACAGCATTTTAAGGTTAACCAATTATGCTGCATGACTCTGACTCTGGTTAGTTCGTAAACCTTTGCTGATAGTGACGGGTTAATTTATCAGCCGGAGCAGCTCTAGGGGTTTAAATAAATTAGCTAAGACGATCTATTTAAGATAGTGTTTCGCTACAATATGTAGCTTGCAGTTTGTCTGTTTTTGCAGGAAGGCTAATGTTAGCTAACAGATGGTGATGCCTGTGTTTGCAAAAAGACTTCTTTTCCTGTAGAAGTCTGTGAGCCAAAGTCTGTAAAAGTCCTCCTGAGTTTTTGGGATTGTTCTGGATCATATTTTGAAATTGAGGATTAACTTTGGTGTAAAACTACATCTTCATTGCATAAGAAGTTGTCAATCACAAGTCATTAGACAACGGGCTTCGCATACTTTTCTTTCTTGTCTTGTTTGTGATGGCGTCTGTGTTGTGTGGGAGATAGTCGTTAGCTGAAGTTAGTGGGCTCTGGTTCTAAAATAATGTTGGCTGGTCTTACACACCATTGGCACAGCATGCAAGCAGAGCATGGACGTCACTTTCTTCTGATTTTACTAGAAAATTAAGACTTTTACAAATAAATCAGCACACAGGATGTTAGAGGACACACAGAAAGTCAGGGAGGATCAATTTTTTTAATACTACATGACACTTCACTCACACTGCCAATTTAAAAAAGTATTTACCTGGACACGGTTTTACATTCGTGCACACATACTGTATAACCTTTAATAGGTAAGGTGATGTCCACTATGAACATAATCCAGCCCACACAAATGTGATACTCAAAATTTAACTTAATATAATTTAAGAAGAATCTGTTGGTTATGTTTACATATAAATGATCTTCAAGTTCATTCTTCTTTTCAGAGAGACGATGGTGAGAAGAGTGTCGTTTACAACACAATGGGTCCTAATGTCTGTATGGGAGATCATAAGGTAACAGATTACATAAGCAGTGTGTTGTGCACATCAGCCATGTGGACTGACTCTGATGTGTTTTGTTTTTCTTCTGTAGCCTGTGTTCTTGTCCTTCTCACTGAAGACAAATGACCACATCTGATACTTCTAAATGGTAAGAAGTTTCACTGAGTGTGTGTGTGTGTGTGTGTGTTCTGTACTGCATGTGCAAGTGCAGCTGAGTCGATGTGGTAATTCCAGTGAATGGATTCAGTGTGAGAGAGTGAGCACAGTAATCTTTCTCTGGTCCCTGGAGAGCCATAACCCTACTGGCCCAGTGGAGTCAGGATATGAACTAAGAGTAATGCGTGCGGGACATAAGAGATCCTTTGTGCACATCGTAGTTGGAGTGCAGGCGATCTGCACTCTCGCTGATCTATGTCTATTGAATCCTCTTCGCTGTCACTGTGGCTACATATTAGGTGTAATGCTGGCCTGCTTTTCATTAATTACCACATGGATGGCTGGCCGGAGACACATTCATTGTGCGGGGCAGCATATTGGCATTTTTATGGCCATGATTTTGTTTTGCTGCCATTTCAATTTATTTTTTTAAGGAAGTACTGCCTTTTCATGATTGTCCTTCTTCAGAAAGCTGCAAAATGATGAGATCCACACAATGGGAGTGCTTGAAGAGGCTACAACCATCACCTTTTTTGTTTTTGACATTTCAAAGCATATGAAAGGTTTAGCCTACCGCTAGTACTTTGAGGCTACATTTTAGCTCTTGCAAGGTGTGCTTTTTATGCAACCATTTACATTTCAAATGATACTAAAAATCATAGAGTTAATTTTACCTCATTGACCTGAGAAATGGCTTTTGCAGGAGAGTCAGTCTTATGTACGCTAATTTAGACTTGATTTGCTTACAATAGCATTTAGATGTCTGAACCCACTGTGTCCTGTATTTGCACTGTAATCCACACTGGTTAAACAGTTCTGTGGCTGAAGATCTGGTGGTGGAGCAGGTCGTCTACTGGTAAGTAGATTGATCCCCGACTCCTCCAGTCCACATGCTGAAGTACCCTTGGCCGAGATGCTAAACCCCGAGTTGCCCCAGTGTAGCCACCAGAGTGTGTTAGCTGTGTGAATGTGTGTGTGCACAACAATGTGTGTGTGAACAACAATTAGAAAGGGTTTTCAGTGCTCATTTACAAAGTGTGTTTCTGTCTGCTGCAGGTCTGTAACCACAGCATCCTCAGAGGCTGATCAGTGTGATTGTTCTCCACTACAACCGTCCCATCAGCCACCAAAAATAAGCCAGCGTTTCACTCAGCCTCAGCTAAGCTCCCTGCCACACACTGCTGACCACAGATCTCGTATCATGTAACCCAGATTTATCAAGACGTGTCAAGAGTTTTTGAGAGTTGTTCCTGTTCACCGCTTCCTCTGGGATTTTTTAAAAGTCCCCTCTACCCGAAACCTCGGAGTCACCAGGGATAATCCTGCAAATCCTACCTGCAGCTGCACATTCATGAGACACATCAAGAATTTTTAAAATTATTTTTAGCTCAATTGATTGTATTTCATGTTTTTTCAATGCCGTCCATTTTACAGGCAGTGTCGAAAATTACCAAACTTTGTATGAATGTCAATTTACTCATTTCTTACTGGCCCTAACTAAAGGCATTTTATTCTAAAACACCCAACTTAAGCAACAATTAACAAAAGATTCAGGAGAGGACTGGGTATAATATGAGCCACAGTTTGTGTAGTAGTGGTGTCTTGAAAAGGGAAATATCAAACCCTCGTGGTCATGTGTGCACGCTTTTAGTTTGTTTTTTTATGCTCTATTTAGTACATGCATCTTTGCTTTGCCATCACCATAGCATTTTTTAAATGACGAGGGAAGCACAGCTGTCTTTGCTTCCAGGTGTCATGTGTGAATGATCTCCGCTGATAAAACAGGATTTGTGACAGATTTCCTACTTTTTTCATACAGGTTGCTACTTCATACACATCAGCTCCAGTCATGACAGATTGGATTTTTAATAGTGGTGTTATGATGAAATGAAAGTAGACAGGCAAAAGAAAAAAAGGCCAGTAACATTTTAGCAGCAGTGGTGAGAGCTGAATGGATTACCGCCAGCATCCAAAATGAACTTGTGTATCTCTCTTATTTCCCGAGCTGTATTATACACATTATACCAAGTGCTTTATTACCTTGACTTTGCATTTCTTCTCCAATTAATTTGAGCTGTCCTCCTCCAGTTTACTATGCAGGATGTCTGGTCAGACTTCACCCTGCTGCGGTCGGCGTCAGCTGTATTTCATTGCCAAAAAGAATCACGCTGTAGTTATGCTGTAGTGTGTGCGTCTGTTTTGATTACCTGGCATCAAATAAATTACATTAAAAAAAACAAATCCTGTGCATAATCACATCTGTGTACCCACACTCAACAGAGGGGGCGCTGTTTGCTTTTGAATTATTGCATTTATCTTTGATCCTTGTCTCTTACTGCAGCACCAGTGTAGTAATATCATGTGTGAGTTAACAAGGCTTTGGCAATTTTGACTAATTGATTCTGTTTAAAGTGTGTTTGTTGCTTTTTGGGTGTTTTATGGGAGAGCATTTTCCTATATTCATCACAAAAATGCTTTTTTGATGCCCAGATTCAGAACTTTGGCACGATGTTTGTAAAGTGTGACTGTAGCCTCATCGCAACGAGAAAGAGCAACGCAAATGTCTGTTTGTGATAAATGCTTTGTCACAGGAGTGGAGCTGGTTGTAAACACTACATTTGTGATATTTCACTTTTGTAAATAAAGTATCACCCTTTGTTGCACTTTTGTTTTTTGTTTTTGGGGGTTTACAATCAAGTCACGCCTCTTATGGGAAAGCAAAGGTTGTAAACTATGTAAATGACCTCATTTCCCGAGAGCAGTTAACCCTGACAGGGTAGGTAATGATCTGTGTACCAAGTTACTTTTTTTATGACTTTAATGACTAAAAATATTATAAATAAACTATATTCTCACTTATATTTGTATATATATATTTTTGTGTTGATCACATTAAAATAAATGTCAGATCATGTCAAATTTAGCCTGTCCAAGTAACACAAGCTTTACATTAGTGTCTGTGTGTGTTATTGCATTTAGTTACTGTAATAAAATTGTGGTTACTTTGAGTCAGAAGAGCAAAATGACAGCTAAAACAGAGGAAATATTAAACCTGCGCTTCAGACTGAGAATCGCAGTCATGATTCTTTCTTTTGTCACGTTGTGTTGATGCAGCAGTTGGACTCAGATCCAGATTTAAGTCCAGATTAAACAACAAAACAAAAAACAAAACAAAAAAAACAGATAATATCAGTAACAGAGGAGACCAAAATATGTTTTTCAGAATAAAAGACTTGGACCCACCCCCGTCACTTTGACACTCAGATAAGAACAATCACATTTTTGACTGTTCATGCACGTGACTGATGTGAGGCTGAGCATGTAGGAGTTAGGTATTTTGTACTGGCACACTGAGGTGTGAGAGGAGCTGGTCGGACTGGTTAGCAA